CCCCAAAACCCCAAAACCCCAAAACCCCTTTTGTTCCAAAAATGGCTGAAAATAGAGAAGTCATAGAAAATTCAGTTTCTAATTTGGTGAATTTGGGATAAAAACCATTCACAAACTTGTTTGGTTGTTGTAGTCATTGTAGCTTTAAGATTTTAAGACTGTAAATCTAAGACCAGACTTGTTTCAGTTAAGCAGATTCAGAATTTTCTAGCATCGGATCAGACTTGTTGGATCATTAAGCATTTTCTGCTCGGCACTTCGTACAAAAATATTGGGTGTGTCTAAATCCCTCTTGGTACCGATTCGGTTGTCTAAATTGGTGACTTCACGGGAGTTAAGACGAACTATCTATCCTTAGAAATCGCTGAAAATATATTGTGAAATTGTTATAAAAATTAAGCAATATTACATTTTTGAAAGAATTCCCGTGCATGGACTGCATAAGGGATTTCTAATTAGTAGTGACTCAAGGGACCATTTTTATGTACTCATTAGTGATGATACTATCCTCTGTTTCTCTTGTAGAACAGGGGCTTGCTCAGTGACATCCTGCTGTTATGTCCAAGGTGAGCTATATGACCATTACGAGGGATCGACCGGGCTAAGCAGCTTGTTTTGTGATGATTATTTCAGTTGCTACTGGCTCTAATCTTGTGCTCCGATCATATGTATGCCCCTGAGATCCTGCTACTCGTGCTCTCTCGTGTGTGAAAGGTATCGTTCCTTTGGGGAAGGTAGGACTCTTCATCTCTAATATTGTGAACAACATTGCTAGCGGTTATCTGGTGAGACTTGAGAGGGATGAATGTTCTTAGTCTCAGGTTAGATTTCAAGTAAGTCTTCAGTATCCTCCTGTTCTTAACTGTATGTGTAGCTTGTCTAGGAAGTCGTATTCGCTTCTCTTCAGATCTTGCCAAGATTTGTTGGTCCACCTCGTATGCAACTGGGATTTGCTTAAGATATTTCTCTTCAGACCGCTGGAACTTGCTAACCTTCTTAGGTGTGATAACCCGAGGAGCTTCTTGGCTTAGCTCTTCTTCAGTAACTTCTGGGATAAGATTTTTGGATTTATTCCTGAAGCTATTTACTCAAGTTTTAAATTTGTGCATATTTGGCTTGGTCTTTACAAATAAGAGGAGCTGTTGTCATATCTCTTTGGGTCTTGCTGGTTCTGGTGGAGGTTTGTCAAGTTCACTCGCTGGTTGTTCTTCCGAAGTGTGTTCACTTTGGAAATCATTTCCTTCCTGTTGTAGATTTTGAAAATGTGTTTTAGCTTCTTTTCCGAGCTTAGCTTGGCATACTTCTGTTGTTCAAAGGGGTTAAGGATGACATTCATGGCTTCATTGTAGCGGGGAGCTTCAGAAGTATCAGAGATGCTTGCAAATTTGTGTTGTTTCTTATCTTTCTCGATGGTATTGGCCCTTCTCTTCTTCAGTGTCGACATGACGGGCTTGGGTGATTCCATTGCTTTTACATCTGGCTTGGCTATTACATTGACCGCAATACAACTATGCAGTTTCATATGAGTGGCTTTGGGTCCTTGTTCTTCGGAATAATCTCTATTAGGAGACATGTCTTTCTCATTGGCTCAAATTGGAGAAAATTTAGGACGAGTACTGATCTTCTTGCGCTGTTGTGACGCTCGAAGTGAAAATGAATTCTGAAATTTCGAAAATTTTCGTACTTTCTTAGTTTTAATGAATGCTGGTGACTGTTTCGGGCTTCTGGCCAGTACCTCATCTATGAATAGTTAGATTGTTGTGGTACCTTTGCTCTCATCTTGAATGAGCGAGAAACTGCTTCCTTGTTCACAGGTGTTCCGTCCGATTGTTGTCCTAGCTCTGAGTTTCTTCTGTTGCTCGGTTCTGTGCAGTCGTTGGGTTTTCTTTAGATTTATGATTTTAGTCAACTCCTTTGCTCTTTTTGAATGAATTTTTGCCTTGCTTTTACGTAAATTGGGAAAATTGGTGTTATGGGAAAGCTTCAGATCATGCTCGATTTTATAAGTTTCATAAAATTCCTCACAAAATTTGTGAAGGTCAGGATTGGTGTGTTCATGTTTATTTTTCACCGATGTGTTCTATAGATCATACCAATGAGCAAACGAAGAACTGAATTCAATGACAAGCATTAACTTTGTAACAGCAAATCCCCATCTGAAGTTGGGGGCAGAAATAGAGCTACGTACCATTGGTTTAATCCTGACTTCAATTTCCTGTAAACAAGTCTCCAACATGGCTGGTTTATACACCAGTTGGGTATCGCTAAGGATGCCTCGTGAACGCTTGATTTTAGTCGGAGAGGTTTCTAGGTCAAGAGTGACATCCCTCCAGTTTTCTAAACAGTCATCTTTACTCATTGATTTAGTTGTATTAAATTATTATCATTATTAATGAAATTTAAAGGGGTTTTGGGGTTTTGGGGTTTTGGGGTTTTGGGG